AGGCAAGTTAATCTCAATTGCCCCAAGGATGACTATGGAGAAGACAATCAAGTAAGGCAGACACCAAGGGCAGGCAGCTTGGGGTAGAAGGCTAGAATTTCAGGAAAAAAAAAAAAAAAAAAGAAAGTCCAAAACTAAGTTTGCAAAGCAAACTTAAGCTCTGGCCAGCATCCGAAGCAAAAAGTAAGAAAAGAAAAGTACAGTTATAAAGTTTAGAGTCAGGCCTCAGAAAGTGAGGTAGACTCAGCCAGATCAGCCGAACATAACAGCACAAAGGGCTTGGAAGGGAAGGGAAAGCAGGCCATTTTAAACTGGACCTGCCTTCATAGTAGTAGAGGTCACCTCCATGGGATTAGCCCTCAAGGAAGAGACAAGTTGGGCCTGCTCACCCTCAGCTCACAGATTGAGATTCCTTTTCCTTCCCTCCCTCCAAACTCCTTTCAAATCTCACCATTTCTCCCTTCCAAAGGGGGAGGGGGAGAGAGAGAGAGAGAGAGAGAGAGAGAGAGAGAGAGAGAGAGAGAGAGAGAGAGAGAGAGAGAGAGAGACCTTTCAGTGCTATCAGTATCTGTGTAGGGCCATTCATGGAAGAGTATCAGGAGCTGCAGCAGTGGAGAAAACTGACTCTCTCTTCTCCACTACCCATCAACTGCCAAAAAGTCCTCAGCTGACAGCGTACTTGTGGGATCTTCTCTGTTAGGTCCCGAGCGGCCCCTCAAAGATAGTCCTGGGGACCTTGTTCTGAACAGAAGGACCTGGGCTAGGTAAACAGAAAAGGCTTCTGTTTAACAAGGACCCTCCCTTAATCCTCCAGGAGCCTCCCTAACTCTGCCCAAAGGCCAACTGTCTTGGGCAAGGGTGTCTTGCTCCTAGCCAGTCTGAACAACCTACATCCGCCCAAAGTTTCCCCCTCTGATGGCTTTTCTGTTGCTTTTGCTTTTTAAAATGCCCCCCCCCACCACCACCACATAGCCTTGGCAATTTAATCATCAGTTAACCCTTCTTTCTATTCATGGAGTGGTCGTTTCGTGGTTCCACTGAGTCCTTGATTCCAAAAGGCTGTGTTATTTTGGAAGTCTATGAGGACTCCCCCCAAGCCCCTGCCAACAACTGGAAGAGGGGCAACCCACACCTGTCAGTGGGTAGGCAACCTGAGACTGTTTTGTGTGTCTCCACCTAAATGGGACTGAATTAGATCTGACTAAACCGTCGGTTTAGACATGCCGTGATTTTTTGTAACAGTTTTTCTACTCCGATTTTGACTGCAAGTGACCCTCTGTTCCGTCATATCTTCCATTTATTTTAACTGTGGCATGCCTTACAGTTTACTAACTTACTACATATATTTAACACAATTCTGCCTATGTTTCACAAAGTGCACGCTTACTCATCTCCTATATTTAAAACATCCCACCAGCTTTGCATTGATCTCCTCAGCTACTGGCGTACTTACTGGCTACAGTCACCGCTTCTCATGAATTCCACCCATCCTTAATTGAGCTGCAAAGGCGCTCAGCAGCATCGTCGGAGTGGAAAGCTGTAGGAGGCAAGAAGACAAACGGTGTCCTTTTTATGCTGCATCCGAGACTGCGTTCTCCCCTGATGAAAACTGTAAAGCTTTTCAAAAAGAGTATGGAATAAAAGGGAGGAGCCATGACCCGGAATCTCTTCTGCTGATGCAAATAAGGCTGTGTCTCTATGGGGATACTGGGGTTCGGTCAATAGAGCATTCCCTTCCAACTAGTTCCCCAACCTCAACATCATGAGGCATTTTGGGTTCTACCCAACTAGGGGGTGCTCCTAATTGGTCCTTGGGAGAGTAGGTATGGGAAACTGTTGAGCATAAATCCCATAAAACGTATGGGGTTGTCCCTGCCAGTGCTAGCTAAAATATACAAGATCATCCCTTCAAGCACTAGCTGGCTCAGAAGTTCAAGCCTTCAGAGCCCGAGGAACCCTAAACTGAAGGAATGAGGAAGGCACAGTGAGGATAGGGGTTCATGAAGAAGACGCATTTTGGGTGTGGGTGCTGATCAGACGGAGACAAGAGGCAGGAGAGGAGGGTTTGGGCTGGCACAGCTGGAGCACAGAGGGAAGAATGGTCAGGGAGAAGGAGGAAAGGCTGGGTGTTGTTTCACACAGTGAGTGAGGATGCACAGGTGCAAGAAAGAGTTGGGACGAGAGGACTCTAAACTGGAAGAGGAGGGTTGGGGATGTCAGTCTGTAGCCTGCTGCATCCATGGGGATGAAGTAGGTAAAGAAAACAACGAGCTAGCCAATGGAGGCCCTGGGTAAAATGAGAAACGGGGCTGAAAAGGAGTTCAGAATTCTGGGCCCTCATTCTGTTTTCCCACATCAGAATCTCTGTCCCCCAAGCCTATCTACCAGACCAGAATCTCTACATATAAGGACCAGGAATGTGATGGGCATATTTGAAGCATAAGGAAGTCAGAGAACAATAGATGTTATAGTGATATTTTATTTATGTTTTAATAAATAAAGCTTGCCTAAAGATCAGGAGAGCAATAGAGGTCAGGCAGTGGTGGCACACACTTGTCTCCCAGGATTTGGGAGACAGAGGTGGATGGATCTCTGTGAGTTCGAGGCCAGCCTAGGCTACATAAGATCAATGCTGAAAAAAATCCAGATGGTGGTGACATGATGGAGGTGGGTCTTGTATCTTATCTGTTGCTTTCATTGGTTAATAATAAAGAAACTGCCTCGGCCCTCATAGGACAGAAAATTAGGTAGGTGGAGTAAACAGAAGAGGATCCTGGGAGAAAGAAGCTGAATCAGGGAGTCGCCATGATTCTCGCACTCCAGACAGACGCAGGTTAAGATCCTCCCTGGTAAGCCAGCTCGTGGGCTACACAGAATATTAGAAATGGGTTAGAACAATATGTAAGAGCTAGCCAATAAGAAGCTGGAACTAGCCGGGCCAGGCAGTGTTTAATAGAATACAGTTTCCGTGTAATTATTTCGGGCATAAACTAGCCATGCGGGCTGCCGGGTGCCAGGGACACAGCCCCGCTGCTCCTAATTCAACAGTGACACACATGTTTAATCCCAGTAGCCATACTAGTGTGCCAGAGAAACCAGGTGGTAGTGGTGCACACCCTAAATCCCAGAACTAGAGAGGAATATGAGAGGGGAGGAGACAGCTCTCACTCAGTCTCATTCTGAGGATTCCTGGAGGCAGCATCGCCATTTGGCACTGCCTGGCTGGTAAGGCTGACCAGGGCAGCTGTTTTACTCTCTGAACTTGAGGCAAGCTTTACTTATTAAAATACAAATGAAGTATCATGACAAGATGTACGTTTCAGAAGAGTGCTCTCTGGGAAGGAGCAGGCAACGAGGCACCAGGAAAACCAGGAAAGCAGAGTCCCATAGCTCAGGAAAGGAGAGTGCCAAAAACAAGGCTCTCAGCAGACATGGCTGCTGTAGGAAGAACTGGCCAGTTCATTATACTCACGAGTATAATATGATCAATATGGAGTTGTAAGCCTCGTGGTAGTGACGTGAAAAGGGTTAAAAGAAGCTGGCAAGATTAATTTTAGAACTTTATTTTTTTACAGGCATGGTGGGGTCTCATCTGTAATCCCAGTGATAGGGAGGCAGAGGCAGAAGGATTGTTGGATATTTTAGGGTAACCTATGCTATATTATGAGATACTATGTGAGAAATAAAACACCCCCCCAAAACAAAACAAAACAGAACAAAACAAAACAAGCCAAACAAAAAGCTTAAAGAATTACTCCAAGATATTTTATGCTGTTTGTGGCTATCATGAAAGGTGATGTTTCTCTGATTTCCCTCTCTGCTTCCATATCCTTTGTGTATAGGAGGGCGACTGATTTTTTGGAGTTGATCTTGTATCCTGCCACATTACTAAAGGTGTTTATCAGCTGTAGGAGTTCTTTGGTGGAGTTTTTGGGGTCGCTTATGTACACTATCATATCATCTGCAAATAATGAAAGTTTAACTTCTTCCTTTCCAATTC